TTAATTTTCTTAGATTAAGTCTTTCTTCGGTATCTGTTGAAAGATTTAACAATCTATAAGTTTCGGCTATTTGTTTCTTTTTTTTGAACTGTTTGCCTCCCCGCATTTGTTTCTGTCTTTTTACCGGGGTAGGTATTTTTAGTATTTCTTTTTTGTTAAGCTTATTCCTACGCTGATATTCTTCTATGGTTATCGGTGTCGGGCCTTGTTTCACCACTGTGGAGGTGCTGAGGACCTCTTCAGTGTCTTTTATTAAAGCTTTTAATTTTTCTTCATACTTTTCGAAGATTTCATGAAATTGTTTTTCAGTTATGTCTGACATAACTGACATATTGGGAGTTTTGAAAATTTTACCCTGAAATCATTTGTCGCTGAAAGCTTGCTGGTGTATTTGGTTTTTAACCGACTACACAATCAATTCGTCGGAATATTTTTTGATTATTATTATTTTTTATGTATGCTACCGCATACAACCACGTTAACCGATTACTATAATTTTTTTTTTAAGGAAAATTTTCTGATACCCCTCAGGTGGTCCCATTCTAATTTGGTTTAAATCCGATCATTGGCTCATGAAGAGAATAACGATAATCTTAAATTTTTATACGGGAGTTGAAGTCGGTTTTGTTTTTTGCTTAAAAATTACTTGTTCATGTAAGCATTTGTTGAAAATGCAGTCTCACATAGAAATGTAAAAGTCAAAGTCAAAGTATGTTTAATGCAATCTTGCCAACAGCAGTATTTTCTGCATATATACACTTGCATCCAGAACTCACTTAGCTCTTCGTAGTATTCAAAGTACTGTCTTCACTGATGTCCAGAAGGTTTTCAAAAGCTTAATTTGTCATCTCAGTAGGTTTACATTTCGGGTCACATGAAAACCGGTCGACAATGGTTTTTTCTGAACCTTCCAAGTTAACGCTGGTAATGTGCGTTAACGCTAACAAAATAACTTTTGCAGCCAATTTCACGAAAGCAATTTAAATGAAAAATAATTTTAATTTTTTGAACATTATAGGGAAATTCATAGAAAATAAAAAATCATTTTCCATNACAAAATAACTTTTGCAGCCAATTTCACGAAAGCAATTTAAATGAAAAATGATTTTAATTTTTTGAACATTATAGGGAAATTCATAGAAAATAAAAAATCATTTTCCATTTAAATTGCTGGTGACCGGCTGTTATCAATTTCCTTAGCGTTAACTTCGGCGTTACATATGTACGGTTTTCTGATCTACTTTGTTTATTTATGGGGTTTTCATGCAAATTGCTAGAAATTCTAAAATATATCTAGTGGCGGCATCTTCCTAGTCGCCAGGGAATACCGACGGATCATACAGTGACTTCTCGTGGCGTTTTCTGATTCACGCTTCATCCTAGACATCGCTCCTTTCCAAAGTTCCAAAGAATAAGTAACATATGCATGTGTGCGAAGCTGCTGCGCTTGTTACGAGAACAGCCCAGCTAGCAAAAAATCTGAAAATTAATCCGAAAACGGGAAGAAAAGCGGATGAAACGCGGATTAGGTCTACAAAAGGACTGAAAATGGTTGTGAAAAGGGTACGTTTTCCGCGATTTTCCTGAAAATTTTCTGATTCAATTTTTAGTTGGCAAAACGTACTGGGGAACCACGCTTAAGGGCGAAATACACCACGCAAGCGGCTTGACAAACCAAGCGAAATATCCCTTTGCTGCAAGCCATTTGGGGTGTGTATGGGGTTTGACGAGCCATTGAAGATAATTTTAATAAAAATCAAAATATTTTGATTTTCTGGTCGCCATGTTGAAGTTTGATCAAACCGCTTGCGTTGTATATGGAAAGTTTAAAGAATTTGCCCGCACCACTAGTATACTCTAGCCAATAGCGGCACCCCAGGCATACGCACCCCATCCACTTTGGTAAAGCCTGCCTATCGCATAGTTAGTTGACACACGATACCGTATGAGTCTACAACAAATAGCAACATAAACAGGCGATAGAAATTAATCACCTTTATCGCTAGAATATCTCTTATTGTATACGCTTATTTTTCTATTGGCGACGCGTTTCTTAAGTGCTCGTTCCCTACGGTAGGAAACACGTTTCCAAACGTCAATGTATCTACGTACATATGAATGTATGTATCTAAATATATTTTTAATTTAAATACTTTGCTAATTGCTAGTAGATTGTACAAACGGATAATCACTTGCACAGAAATTATCGCTTGGCTTGGCTACATGCTTGTATACATAAATAACAAGCAGTGGAAATTCCAGTATTATTATTATTAATTTACAAAATATCACTNTGTATGGGGTTTGACGAGCCATTGAAGATAATTTTAATAAAAATCAAAATATTTTGATTTTCTGGTCGCCATGTTGAAGTCCAACGCAATTTTTGAAGCTTAAAAGCATGTTCACATTATCGTAATTTAAAGGTGATTCGTAATTAATAAGCAAATCATGCTGAAATCTATGCATTTGGCCTTGTAAAATCGGTCAATAAATTAAATGGAAATTAGGTAATTTATCATAAATCAAGAACCAAATGATGAAAATACCAACTTGTCATTTATTTTAGCCAGAGTACGAAAACAAACCGAACGTATCACTACCCGTTTCCACAACAAGTTCTCAAGTTTGTGATTCTTTTGTCATACTGTTCCCGAGCACTAACAATACACGATACGTTTCAATTGCAGGTGAGTACAAACCAAACTAATTGTTTGTTCTTTTGCTCACTTGCAAGGTATTGATTATAGTAAAGAGACTCATCCTGAGCAAAACTGAAACAAAACACGATACAGAAAATCATTCCTTTAGTGCTCAGTAAATGAATTTTGCCTATGAAGTTGGAAGAATGGCTCAACTGCTTCAGTAGATTTCTGTACATTGTATGTTGTGTATTTATGTCATTGAAAAATGCCACGTTCTAAAAAAAATATACTGCGCTAACCATTGGCGCACCCGGGAATATATTTTGGGGGCTTTATACCTCTGAAAATTCGCTTCAGATAATATACTCTTTAAATACATGTATGCAAGTTTTATGTACAGTATGTAATAAATAAATAAAAAAATTTTAAGTTTCGTAAATTGTAAACATTTCTAACCGACTTCAAAAAGGGGGAGGTTATCAATTCATAGGAGAGTCAGAATTTCTGAAACTGGCCACTTTAGTTATGTGATATTTTATTTCTTATCAGTAGTAGTATTTTTTGATAGCCATTGCTAATACAAACAAATGTGTAACTTTGCTTGTACAAAAAAAATTTAGTTTCTTATATATCGACAATGCTGTAAGGCTGTGGAATTCCATTCCTGATACTATCAAAGCTGCGTTGAATAGGAGCTACTATAAGAAAGTAATACACAAGTATTTCACCTCTGTGCGATAAATGTGATTGCAATTTAACAGTTCTCTTTTTTCTATTTATTTCTGTCTTTTTTTTTGTTTTTTCTTCTTCATTGTGTTTTTCTTTTCCCAACTGCAATGAGTGACTATTAAATGACTACTATTTAATCTTACTTTTATTTCATTTTTATTTTTTATTTTATTTTTAAATTTAAGATAACTATTTGTATTTAAATTTATTGCTATTATATTTTTACGTTAGATTTAAGATAAGTCTGTATCAGACGATTTTGCGTTTTAATTTTGTAATTGAAAGCTGTTGATGTACTACAAGAGACTGAGTCTTACAGGTACAACCTCATTTCTTAAATAAAGCAAATAAATCAAGTGTTTTTTTTCCTTTTTACTTGAAAATTCAATAACAGACGAACTAATTGACCGATTTTGACAATTCAACAGTCATTTTCATTGCTACTAAAAACTCTTCAATTTAAAAATAATTTTTAAGGGTAATATTTTATAAAATTGTTGGTAAAAGTACAAAACTAATAGTCTTATCGATTGTGTTGTCACTTCTAATAATAATAATAATAGATTGGCGCTTACACATATGTTAGTGTTTGGCCGAGCTTCTCCTCCGGTTTGTGGCGTGCGCCTTGATGTTGACACACAAAGCGGAGGGACCTTCTGTTTTACGCCGACTCCGAACGGCGATTGTATTTTTATGAGAAGCTGTTTTTCATGGCAGAAATACAATCGGAGGTTTGCCATTGACTGCCGTGGGACGACCGCTGTTAAGAAAAAACCTTTTTTCTATATTTTTTGCGATGTTGTTTTGACCAGGGTTTGAACCCAGGTGCTGCGGAGTGGAAGCGCGCACTGCTTACCACCACACCACAGCGGTTGTCACTTCTACCTTGTTGAATATACCTTGATCGCACCTACTTCTCAACTATATGTCTACGTATATAGCCAAAAACCCTTTATTTTTACGCTTACCATAAAAAATATAATAAAATACTTAGAACCATAGTAAAAGAAAACTAAAATCACTTTGCATTGCCTAAATACCTGAGCAAGAAGGTACCATTGCCGTTTTTGATATATCTTTAAATAAAACTCAGATATAGCTTGGAGATTTGAAATATTAAAGCATTGTTTTTCACCTTGCGCACACCTAAAGGAAAAAGTGACGACTTTAGCAGTATATTGCAAGAAAACGGTAAATTTTTGGGCAGATATTTGATGACATAGAGATGTAGAGTTTTATCTATTTTCATTTGGTAATAAACCCTTCTTTGAAATTCATTTTTTGAATTAACACGCAATATCGACATAAATTACCCCACTGTGCGACGGTAGACAATGCCAATGTTGTCGAGTCATACAATTTAGCCTAATTTACGACATACGCATTGAGGCTGAATGATAGCAAATGCAACGAAATGCTCGTATAAAAACTAGTATATTTATCTATCTAATTCTTAGATATTTATATATCTAATTCTTGCTTTGATGCATAAAGTAAATGATACTTACCGATTAGAACATGCGTCAATCACTCCCTGACATACTAGCTGTGTTAGTAAGATAGCCCAGTCTGTAGTAGATGTGCCATTTTTCTGTATTGTATCAAACATTCCTCCCACTAAAGAAAAACGTAGCTGCAGCGAATCTAGTACTTCTTCTCGTTCTTGTGGGTCGTTAAATCCATTCAACGAATCATTCTAAAAGTAAAGAAAAGACACACCCTTATTATATAACTTTCAACGCATATAAAACTCTTTAGACGTTGTTCGTTATAACTACAATATTAATATCTGTCATCATTTGCAATAAATTCTCAAGAATGCAGGCTGACCTTACCATAATGGGTAACACAACTATAGCGGGGAAAGAAGTTATATTTTACGATTTTTTTGGGTATTCTGTTTGGAGAGGTTACTCAGCATATATGTATGTATTTAGCTCTTCAATTACTAGTTTCAACTCTTGGTTAGGGTGTCCCTTAAAAAGCAGAGTTTAAAATTACGTTGCGCATAATTTTTTTCTTTTCGGTTAGTTGAATAAATCTACGAAATGTAAAAGACCAGAAAATTTTGCTACATTTTATAACGTCTGCAGTATGAAACCTTAAGACTACTAATTTTCCGCATACACATAACTGTCTTATGCTGACTACAGACGGGTCTACCCTTGAAGCAACCCAACGGGGCTGAAACTGAGATTCTCGAAGGAACAAGTACAAAGCAAAGTAAAAAATAAATTTTTAAATTTGTAGCAATGCTCAGAAATAAATATCATTTTGAGTAGACATATCAAATATTTTCTTTCAAAAAAACATGTACATATGTATGTACGCACAAACATGTATGTACTCTGCAAACAAATCGAAATCTTTAGGAGTATCTCATTTCTGTGACGATTTTTTTACAAATTTTGAAAGAAAATTATATGAAGTGGTTGACACGAAATCGTAGATTTTTTTTTACAAAANATTTTTTTACAAATTTTGAAAGAAAATTATATGAAGTGGTTGACACGAAATCGTAGATTTTTTTTTTTTTTTTAAAAAAAAAAATCTGAAAAAATTCTGTAAGAAATTACTCACACATTATTTTCATTGCTTTATCGCTTTTCTTCCGAAATTTCATAAAAGAATCCAAGTGCGCAAAGTTTGTTTCATTTTAGAAAATTCGGCAGAAAATCAGATGAGATCTTTACGAATTCTTTAACATTTCTCTACAATTCAAAATACTCGGCAAAAGTGGTTTGCAGGGTAAGTACATAAGATCTGCTTCAGTTGAAATCTGGCAGGTATTAAGTAATAAAAAAACTAATTTAAATATATAATTCGGTCCAAACTTTTTTAGAACCTTATTTTATTTATATTTGGATGAAAGATTTACAAATATTGTTAGAATTAATTTCCACGCCAAAATGCCCGTACTTTTGAGATGACCGCCATTAATACTTAGACATCCCTTTTGTTGATCGATTGAGCCTGTTTTCACCACATTCTGCGGAACTGCGTTATTCTTGAAGGTGTACATTTTGTTTTTTTGTTTTTTTAATTTTGATTTCATATAGGCCCAATAACGCTCGATCGTTGGGAGCTCTGGGTGATTCGGAGGATTGGCTTATTTTAGTACAATGTTGATTCCATTTTGTGTATAAAACTCTTACGCTTTTTTTTCACAATGGCTTGTTGCCAAATCAGGCCAAAACAATACAGGCTCTCAGAACAACACTCCAGGTGCAACAACACGTTCGGAGAGCTTCAGATTCCTTTTCAAAGTCCTCGGAACATCCTTCTCCACTATCTTATTTATAGTGCCTGATTTTAGGCCAGATTCCGCCTTTCTCTCAATGCGGAAATTTTTCTTGATATTTGACAATACATTTTGTACCGTCGACCTTCCAATTTTCAGCAATTTTACTAACCGACATTGGGAGATATGTGGATTTTGCATGAATCAGTCCAAAACCAATTTTCTTTGCTGAAGTTCTTTGCTCTCCACATCACTTATTTTCAAAGTTACGCATATGAAAATGAACTGTAATAAAAAACAACGATAGCAAAATCAGTACACTAAATAAACGGCTGATCGAGTAGTCGATACCAAAGTTATGCTATGTATAGTGCTGCCAAATTTCAAATGAAGCAGATCTTACATTAGGGCGGCTGGAAATATACAAAAGGGGGATAAGCGTTTTGGCCTTGTGCGGGAAAGTTGTGTATTGGGGTCAATAAAAACTGTGCAAAATTTGAAATTTTTGAAGATTTCGGTTCCGGCAAGAGCCGTGAAATTTCAAAATTTCAATGAGAAATTACTAAATTGCCAATCGGCCCTATTCCGATTGGCGAAACGACAGTCGTTCGTCGAAATTTGACTTTCATTGGCGTTATGTGGCAACGAATAACATAATCCACTACAAATTTGTATTCCTATTATCCCTTCGAAATGAAGAACTAATGAAAACATGTCAAAATCTGCCGTTAACATTTTTATTTACGACTTAATTCAACGAACGACTGTCGATGCGAGCGACTTACGACAACCAGAATAGGGGTGAATATGTTGATATGAGTAAAATTGATTTAGAAAATGACTAAGACATCCGAAAGTTGTCGCAAGCTGTTTTTGAAGTTTTTGATATTAATTGCTAAATATTTTAATTTCAAGCGAAACTGTTACTGCAGATAATCTTCAGTTGGTAGTCTAAACTAAGTTTCGACGTATTTATACTTACGAGATCCTATCATTCTAGCAGAAGCGCTGGCCATCTGGACTTGTGTGTGTGCTTTCAAATGTTCAGTTTGAATTGTGTGCAAGCAGCAAGCCGATTGTCCGACTCTGCATTTGATTCCAACTACTTTAAAATGCATCTGGATTAAAACACTTTAAAGTCACTATGTTTCATTTAAATACGCTTTAGGTCTGCACTTCACAGATGCTTTTTCATACATCCAAGACACAAATTGTTTCTTTTGGTAAAAAGGGTATCAAAATTCGAAACATTTACTCACTTCACTTGTTTCAAAGTAGTTTTTCAATTAGTTTGATTTTAAAAAAAGTCACTTGTTTCCGACTGGGTTGTTAGCTTCCAGAAGGTGCGGGTTCAAATCCCATCAGAGGCAAAATGTTGAAATGAATTTTTTTTTTTTGGCTTCGAAATATGAAAAAGCATTTGTGAAGTGCAGAACGAATGCGTATTCAAACGAAAAATACTGACATTGAAGTTCTTTAAACCAAATGCATTTTAAACTAGTTGAAATAAAATGCAGAGTCGGATAATTGACCTGCTCCTAGGACATGGCCATGTTAATAAAGTTAGTTGCTTATATGAAAAAAGGAAGAACTCCAACCACTTATAGTTGGTAAAAAAGTACTTTTTAAATTGCTTTTAAAGTAGTTTTATTTCCTACAGGGTACATACATAGACTATAAGAAATATATATAAATAGGTCTGCTTATTATTAGGAAAGGACTTTTATTTCGGACTTAAAAAATATTTAGCTAAGTTTAACAGTTATTACAGATCTAAAAAAAAAGTCCGGCTTGACCGATTATTTTATTTCAAATAAAATAAGTAAAATTTTTCCAACGACTTTTGATATAAAAGTTATACAAGTCCGGGACCCTGCTTACAACATTCTCTTAAGAATAAATAAAATTGAAAAATTGATATATTACTATTAATAAAAATTTAGTTTTATTACATTTTCTTGCCTACTTATATGTACTATGTATTTGAATTATCTAATTCCCTAAATTATATTTGAATTAGATTTTTTAAACAGGTGGCAACCCTACCACATGTGTTTAGCAATAAAGCCTTTTCAAAACCAATCCGTTGATACCCATATTGCAGCAACTTAATTGAATTAAATTTTTCAACAGGTGGCAACTCTTTTAGAGTTCTAACCTAGATATAAATCTTCTACAAAGGCGCACACGTAGGTACGCGTGTTCGTACAATCGGGCACGGCAACATACGAGTATATCGATGTCAAACTTTAAGCAACTTATTGGATGTCCTCCCCTTCTGTTTTCTTGATTTTGAACATTTTCCATTCTAAATTTCTAAAGACGTCTTTTCTAAACACTTCGAGGTTAAATATTCATAAAAATAATTTTGGCCGCCTAAATCGGCCAAATACCCTTATGTGGGACGGTTGGGGAATGTACGTCTATCACTACTCAGCAATCAACCCATGCAGAAAGATGATGATCTACGCTCCAAACATACCACTATAAAATGCAAAGGACAGCTGAGGGCCTTTGTCGCCAGTGCTGCAAATTATAATGTATTTGTAGAATATTTAACGCCCGTCAAGTTAGCACTACACTTTCCGAAACTGGAAAAGTTATTTAGGGCATTAATTGTAGGTGTGTTGTTTTTGTTGTGAAAAGAAAAAATTTGTAGTTCTCATTTTTTTACATTAAGTGTAGCTTTTTTGTTGTAATTTTGTTGTGGAAAGAAAACTTTTTTATTTTCCGTTTTTAAGAAAAATTGGTATGTAGTGCATGACATTATAGTGTAGTAATTGACATTATACACCTAGTCGATAGAATTGAGATATCCAATAAGATGCCATGCCATTCATCGTAGCTTTTGACTTGCAAATTTTTTGTGAAAAGATAAAATGTCTAGCCCTCGTTTTTTCTGGAAAAAATCGAACTGACCCTTTTTCTAACAAAATTTAGTATGTAGTGCTAACTTGACACCATACCCCATTATCGATAGAATTGAGATATTGGAAATGGCACAACGGCATTACTTGTGGCTTTCGGCTTGCAAATTTGTTGTGAAAAGAAAAAAACCGTAGCTTTCATTTTTCTGAAAAAGTCGAGCTGAGCGTTTTTCGAACAAAGTCTTGTATGTATGTAGAGCCAACTTGACACCATATACCTAGAGGCCTGCAAAAAATAACACCACTTCTCGTAACCGCAATTCTAAATCCCTTGGTAGCAATTTAATCTATTCAGCAGTTCAACAATGAAGATTTGCATAAATTCTGGTATTGCATACTTCGCGGGGCAATATTTTGTTACCTTTTTATGAGATGGTAACAAAATCTACCAGTGTTCAGAATGCGAAAAGGGTTTAAAATATACCAGGAACTTTATTTACCGGTAACAAAACTTTTGTTACCAACTCAGAATAGGCCTGCTAGTCAATAAAATTGAGATACCGAAAATCTTAAAACGGAATTAATTGT